TGTGTGTGTGTGTGTGTGTGTGTGTGTGTGTGTGTGTGTGTGTGTGTTGCATTCATCATTGCAATGGGGATAAAGTGCCCAACCTATCATCATCCAGCTGATGAAATTATTCACAAAGTTGTGCAAAGCTCAACTGCCAACTTCTCCGCACATCACGTACACACACAAATAATTTTAAAATCACTGATTGGATGATTCCTACAGCAATGCACCTTGGGAGTCACATCTGACTTCCGTCGTTAAATGTAAATATCACAGGACACTTGTCAGGATAACCTAAACACATTTTGTTTACTTGTTTAATTAAAGTGTTCCAGCAATTGACCGATTCTGCCGTTTGTTTTGGGGAGAGCAGTCTCGTTTTATGTTGCACGGCAGCTGGATTCTGTCAGAACACGGACCAATCGACGTCCTGTGAGGAGCTACAGGCAGCTACGGGCCTGGCTCAGGTGCGTGTGAGACGCCACGGAGAGGTGACCATTCTGAACAACAATGGCGGCTCCTGAAGAGATTAGCGTAGATGCTGCATCAGTTATATGATAACTGGAGAGCAGAGAAATGAATAGTGACGTTCTGACGGTCGGATACAAAGCAAATACGACGACGCAAAGTCGGTTCGGTTTTCCATCTTGTATTTGCTGCAAAGGCAACTAACTGTAGGTGTGATTGCACTGTGTGTTTTGTCAGAGGGATTCTGTAATGACCCTCATGTAACCAGACTCCTCTTCATTGTATTTGTCTTATTGCAATGAGTTTAGAGCTGCCGTCCCTTCTTGACAGTAAGAGTTAATTTCCCAGTTGCTGATGGACATAAAGAGGTCTTACCACAGTTGAAAGTAGTGTTCAGACTTGAGCTAGTTTTGACTGAAAGCAATCGATATTTTGTGGAATGATTCCTCTTTGAGATGCAGCAGCTTCAGATCTGCATGCGCAGGGTTTGCTACAGAGTGTGTGTATTAGTGTGGGGTCTCTGCATGTGTTTATGTGTGTGAATGATGGTCCCATCGCTCACCTGCCTGCAGCGTTGCTTCCAGCCTGCACCGCGGATCTCTCTCCGCTCGGCTCGACACCCTGCAGCTCATCTCAGCGGACCAAACCCAGATTCACACAACTGACTGCATCCAAACTTCTCTGTCTGCATCTTTTTTTTACCTTCATTTATATTCGAACACTTACAGATTTCTTTGAACTATATCTTGCTGAAATATGACTAAACATTTCATTGTGACTGATGTTATTTTCATTAGGTTGATATAGGAAGGATCTAATTAGGTTGCATTAGAAAATCTCGTTTTGGTTCGAGACGCCGTTATAAGCTCTGAAAAAAAATAGTAAGTGGACCTTGAGTCATACTATCCTATCCCTTTCTTGCTCAAAATACAAAAAAATCACCATGATGTAGTAATGTAATGCTTTCTTGGCCTGGGCTTGAGATTTTTAAGTCAAATCCTGCATTTCAAACTTCAAAAACCAAGTAAATATTACTTCATGGAAAATGTATTTATTTCCATATTTGTTTAATTATAAACTTGTTTTACCTTTACCACAAAAAGTGCGATTTTATGTTTGCATGTGTACAAAGTAAAAGACTTTTTATAAGGTGCAATATACGAGATTGGGAGTATTTCTATTGCTTCGCAAAGGCTGAGCCGGCGGCTCGCAGCTAACGGTGCTGACAGCGCTAACAGCGCAAACTACGGCAAACGTGCTGACTGAGCTGATGGTGTTTACCTCTGGGGGAGCCCGAGGGTGGGTGCTACGCCTCTGGGACAGTGGCGACGGGACAGTTTCTTTCAACATTTAGTTGTGTTTTAACTTATTCTTATATGTCAGGAGTTGATAATGTGAATAAACGGTAAGTCTGTTTTTATATTGTCTTTGGGTCCTCTCAATGGTTTTAATTGCAAATTTTACTGTTGCTGTAAAAACACCATGTGTCTGAAGGGCTTTACTTGGCATTTATAAGACTGTTGTTGCTTGTAGTTGTGACCAGTATTTTCACAGTGATAACATAGACGTGGGTTTTTGTTTTTGCAATTATCCCAGCGATTTCCCAGTAAGCAGCTGTTCCTTTGTGATTTGACGGTCTGTGTAAACTTTAAGCTTTTTGCCGTCGTGAGCCCATTTTTCTGTTTATTTGACTGTGCAGATAAGCGGCAAGATTCTCAGCACTTTGCACCTGTGTGTAGTCCGCCTACTAGTCCAGTCACATTGCAGCCACAAGCAAGTTAGATGTTGCTGCTGCACATTGTGAGTGTGTGTTTTTGCATCTGTCATTGTAAGTAAGGGCCTGCCGAGCCTGAACTGGAGCATAGCAGAAGAAATTCATCTGGAGGCAGAGTGTCAGAGACATCAGACCGTGGGAATTGCTGATAAAAACAAGCAAAAGAAGCATGAATCCTTCACAAACTTTATAAACAACAGTAATCCTATTTCTACACTCACATGGCTCCAATCATTTTAGGGCTCTGATCATCTTTTAACAGGTTAAATCATCTGTAAAATATCATCAAATAACATTCATACCAGAGACCAAAGTAATGTATTAAAAAGCTCTATTGATAATATTGTATTCAACTAACAACAATAAAAAACTGTGAGACCAAAAGTCAACATCGACTTACTTTAACTAAATATTTTACAAAACATAACCAAGTAGTTTTATTGCATTTTTGGTTTGTTTGAATTATTAACGGTAATCACGTGTTTACAACTGTAATTCAGGAGAAAATATGTTTCCTTCGCAGCCTAATTGAGAATGCAGTTTAGTTGTATGGGAAGTGATTGTCATTTGCCTAAAAGCAATACTCACACAAAGAACAAACTAATATTCCCACAACAGAGAGCAGTTAGCCAAATATTTACAGCAGATATCTGACAGGACTGTATGGCGGAGAGGTTAAACATCCCACAGTGCTGACGTAATACAAGTCATCTGTGACAGAGGGCGGCTTCAAAAGTGTCTCTCACTCCCCAGGACATGCAGTGCATGGACTGTAATCTGTACAACTGCTCCTGGTAGTTAGCGGTGTTGGAGGTTTAAGAAGTCTCCTCTCTGTCTCCTCAGCCAGGAAAGCGTGGCGTTGACCTCTCCCTGTCACAGCTGGTATCCACACGCAGTCCTGCTGAAACACAGACAATGCTGTTACTATTGATTGGCACTGTAACGCCCCTCTTCTCCTCTCAGCACACAAGAAAGGAAATCAATCGTAAGTAAATCAGGGCGAAAGGCACCCGGGCATCTACAATTAGATCTTCTGCAAACTTTGAAAAGTGTTGTGCATCATCTTCATGTACAGTACAACATATTTCTCAGAAACACGTATCTGTATCTGCACCAGCATGAGGAGTACTACCCGAACTACTAGTAGCTGTATAATGTCATCCATGGCCCGAACTTTCTAAAGAACAGCTGGTGGTATCATAAGGGGTATCTTAGCTGGAGCTTGAAGAAAACCGTTTTAATGGAAAGCACTTTTGAAAGATGTGATTTTTCCACCTCCGCCCTCCTCATTGGAGGATGATCTTTATTTATTCCGTTACATTTCTTGTTCCTTCTCTTCTACTCTAATCGTGTGGCTGAACCTAAATGATTAAAATCATTGAAAACGAATGCTTCATTAATATTGAACAAAAGAAGAGCAAGCCTCTACTTTCATGTTAATTATTCCAGTTGATCCCATCAGTTTATCACCATCCCTGCAGCATATGTCTTGTACTTTTACCATTCCTACTGATATTTTACAACCGGTTCAGTTATTCTCCATGTTGGTGTTGAAAATAATTATTGCTTCTCAATGTCCGTGCTCAACACCGTTGGAGCCTAACTTTTAAAATCACCCATGGACACAGTTTGCATGTTCAATATAGCATTCTTCTCCATATAGCAGTGGATTTGGAGATTGTAGTGCTTACCAGTGATTCCAGCATTCAGGCCGCTGTGGTCCTCAGTCTGGTGTGAACGTTTAGCTTTTGGCTTTAGAACACTGCTGTAAATGATTTCCTCATTAGCTGTAAAGGGCCCACGGCATTGGTGTGAATGAGTCATCAGTTTTGCTATTTGTCTTGCCATGGACGTTTTTTCTGGAACCGGTGGTGGAATTTTGCGCGGCCGAGCGGTCACCCCCGCCCCCTCTTCGTCCCCCCCGCCAAAGACGTCGTCGGACTCATCCAAAAGGGTGAGCGGGCGGAGGTGCATGTCGCGGAGCTCCTCGAGGGTCACCACAGGCAGAGGGGTCACCAGGGACCTGAGGAAGGCCGAGGAGTCGGAGTGGCGGCGGGGTGGTTTGGGTCTGAGAGGGGGTTTGTTTTCATGACGGGGGTCCGGATTAGCGGCGTCGACTGATCGTGAGTTAATAGCAAGACTAGATCCGGGTTCAGGGAGGACAACTGGGAGGGGAATCTGCAGAGACAGCCTGTTGGTGCGAGCCCGGGGGGACGTGGAGCTGGACTTGGGACGCAGCTTCCAACCTAGAGGGTCGTGGCCGGTGATGACAGATGTCTGGACAGGAGGAGGAGAGGAGCAGGAAGAAGTGGAGGAAGAGGAGGATGAGCCGAAGACCCCGAAGGGGGGGCAGGAGTAATGTTTGAGTGAATGATGGGATGCAGCGTGGGGTCGGAGGACAGACACTCCGCGCTGAGGAGGCTGCGGCTCCTTCTTGTCCCTCTTCACAGTTAAGACGGGCGAGGTCCCACACTTGCCAAAGTCGTGTGACCACCGCCGCTGATGAGAACGTGGTGTCACGTTGGAGACGGAGACTGTTGAGGAAGAGCGCTCTCTGGGCTCCTGGCTACGTGTTGTGTCATGTCCCGGTCCTGGTCTGTTCTTGCAGTCTCTGTTCTGTGCACTGAGGCTCACGTGATTAGCTTCGGACACTTTTTCACTCAGCTGGCCACACTGAGCGTTGCTGCCATTGGCGCAGGCTGGGATAGCACCGCCATTAATAGCAACGGAGCGTTTATTCATCTTCCTTGAAGTGTTGGTCAGGTCTGGCGAGCCTGTGAAGTCAAACATGTAGAACATGAGAGGACGGAGGGGGGTCGGGATGTTTCAGTTTTGAAAAGAGGAACAGGAAACGCCCATCTCTACTTCTCATATTAAGTTTCATAACCAAGAGATACTAGCCGCAGTGTGGATTTATAAAAGGATGTTGTTGATCAACTGAAAACCACCTGTTTAAATATGAAAAGGTATTTATGACATTTATATAGTTATTCAACTATTGTTAAGCTTTTACCTAAAATGCTATACTATTGTAACTGGAACAAATAACTCAGTTGTGTTCTTTATACAGCTTCAAGTTTGCTAACTTTAACAACGGAACAATATGAGGTCAGCATACCAGACCAAGTCAAGCTTTTGCAGCAGTGCATTTTTTTAATATTCAATTTTAATGTCAATCATGAATTCTGCTTTTTACTTGAGGGACTGTGTTATTTCCTCGCAACAATTACAGCCTTGCTTAAAATGATGGATAAAGAGGTTCGATTATACTACTACTGTGTTGCAAACACCAATAAACATTCTAACCAAATAACTGAACATAAACTCTGAACACAGTCGGTAACCTAAAACGTAGTTAAAAAGCTAAAAAGCGTAGTTTAAAAGCCTCAAATTATTATACCTAAACACAGAGGAATGAACACTGACATGTTTACAATGTGATTATAAAAATATGAAACATTGTTTACCTGCAGAGCTGTGTGGATCTTACTTCTCATCCAAACGGGACTCATTACTTTCTCACATGTCTTTGGTAATATCACTCTCTCTCTGTATTTCCCCACCCAGAGACCCACTAGCATCTGACCACAGCTTCCTAAACCAACACCCAGAAGAAAGTCCACACACACACACACACACACACACGTGCACACACACTAGTCAAGGTTGATTGATTAACAACTGTTTTCACAACTGCATGAAGTAAGAGCAGTATGGGAAAGTAGATATTGGGTCATGAGAGACACATCTCACATATGAACAGTAGATATTCAACCTGTAGCCAGTTCTGTAAAGTGCTTATGATTTTGGAGATCCCCCCCCCCCTGTAGCATGATCATTAGGTTGACATTTGTGGTTTTGAGTGAACTGTGGTACAGACATTTGTTCACACTTCCACGTCCAGATACTTACAAAACTAACTCTCCCATCAGCCTCAGATGTACGTTTTGTTTGGTGCTATTTAGCAAAGTTAGCAAAATTAGCAGGCTAGCACGCTAAGCTGAGACGGTTAACGAGGTAAACATGATACCTGCTAAAGACCAGTGTGTTGGAGAAGCCTGGATGTGTGTGGCAAGAAGTTCCGATGTGAGCTTCCTGGACATACTCAACCTCCCCCAACATGCATTGCGGCTCTTTAGATTGTTATTACCTTGAGTGGAAGATGTTGATTGTGATTTGTGAGGATACATTTTTATTAAACGGTGGTAGAGGGCCAGTGACGTGGTGATCGATACAGTCATGTGATGCAGAGAAGACACATTGCTTTAGGTGTACTTCAGTGTGAACAGTCTGCTGGTAATATTTTGTGGTTCATTTTATATTAAAACTTTGTTTAGTTTCTTTTACCAAAAGTAATATTAATACCAGCTTGGTCACTAAAAATTCAAAATCTCTTTTCAATTTCTGAACTGGCAGCCCACCCTCATGACACGACCTTCTTCATGTTGAAACTTTATTTAAACAGGGGGCTTATCTGTTTTTGAAGAAACCCCCAAAGTTCGGAGAGCTGTAGCAACTATGCAAATTAGGACGTGACATTTCCTGGTGACCGCTGCTAACACTATCTGTAATTGGTTTGATGGAACTCTGTTTCTCTTGGCATTAGGTTGCACTTATGTCACATTTCTAAGTTGTTTGGATGTTTTCTGACGGCTAAAAAGTAACCACCCAGCAAAACTCATCATGACTCAGCAATAGGCCCTTTCAAAACCCATGGTAGCATTCTGTCTCCCCCGTCTGTCTCCCTTTGTACACCAAGTCAAAGTGTCAATCAGAAGCTGCACCACGGCTGTTAATCTGACTGCGTGTCAAGAGCTGTCACATGCGGACCAACACATTACACGTGTCCTCCTCCCACACACCGTATGACTTCTAACGCTCCGCGTCGACAGCGAGCCTTTTGAAGTTTGATCACTTTGGGGCGCAAAAGCCGCGTTCCCGCTTTCACTTCCCCGTAATCCGCCCACAGGCTGCCGAGATCTTTCAAGGCCTGTGTGAGTAATTGGCAGGTTGGCGCGTTGCCGGGAGTCGTTGGCTTCTAGGTGAGGGCTCCGGTACATTAATCTCTGTGTAATGAAGTGAGGTAAACCCCCGGGGAGGGAGCGCAGAGTACTGTAAACCTGTAGACGAGAGAAGGGATTACAGCTGATCCGAGCATTATTCGCCTGATGATACACTCGCAGTGAGATGGAGGGAGGCAGGAGGAAATGTGTGCGCACTGTGCAGTACGTGTGTGAGTGTGAGAGAGGCCTCGCCTTTCTCTCGCTGTTTCACTCGATAGCAATCAAATATATTTACCTCTACCGCCGGTACGAAGCGATCAATATGTGCTTATTGATGCTTGACATGTTAACAGCAGCTGTCTGCCCAGCTGGCCCTCTCTAAGGTTAGGTTACATTTCTTCTGTAGATCACATCACTGTTAAGAACAACCATGCTGGGAACTTTTCAATTAAGTTCGCTCTTTTAGAAACTGCTGTAAAAGATTAACTTTCTTCCCACGATCTTAGACAAAAAGTTACACATTTGGATGTCTTCTTATATACAACTGCAATACTGATGAAATGTCCCATTGTGTTCTGTCATAACCTTCCTGTTCTCTTCCCTCAAACACAAGAGGTGCTCTGACACAACCTTTCTGTTTCATAAGCTCTCCATTTCATTACACCAACCTTCATCTTCTTCTCACTCTTATCCAGGGCTTAGCAGTGGAATCTATGTCCGTTACGATATCCCGTCAACCCCCAAAAAAAACAGGCAGGCTAAAAAAAAGTTAATACGAATCCTGTGATCCTTCGTGGCTCATTATTTAGTTTCTTCACTCTCTGAAAATGAATTTCACTGCCCAAAACTTTTCAGGTTTTTCCACGTGCAACGGTTGAAAGTGAGATCGGATTTAGATTTCAACACACACAAAAGTACACTCACACAGTATCTGCTCAGAGTATGTTGAGGGACAGTAATTACCATCACTGAAATGATTTCCATAATCATCTGGGTTTATTAGAGACATGAAAGTAGGGAAGCTTCTCGGCTTTAATGCAAATTAGTGTAGCCTGCATTAACAATCCTATTCTAATAATGGCTCATGGTCATCGTGACGAGACACAACCACAGTGATAAGCTACATGTTTCGTATTCTGGGGGGATCGGAGCTTTATATACATAGAGAGTAAATCCTGTTTCTGGTAGAAACCAGAAGGTTTTTCCACATGTACCCTGCCCTTCCACTTTTTGATTGTATTAACTGTAATCAGTGTGCTGGAATATTTGATGAGATTAGATGAAATATCAGCTGGCAGTTAAGACTGACCTGTCCAATACTAATCAGATCTGGAACGACTGCCACCATTTCTCACTCTCCTTATTTTAGCTCCATTCATCACCTTGTGTAAGTCCGTTTCTTAGCTGCTCCCGCTGCATTTCCAAAGTTCGCACAGCCGTTGTGTGAATTGAAACGCTCTTTGTATCAACGCAAAGTGAACTAAACGATGAGATCTCTCAGGAGAGTGCGTGTGAGTATCAGAGCATCGAAGACCCCCAGAGACATGAAGTGCTTTTTAACAAAGCCAGATAATGGAGAGTGAAGACACTACTGGCCTGTAATTGGAAGAAGACGGATGGTTAGAGATGCAGGCGGAGAGAAGAGCGATGAAGAGGGGATTTGGAGGGAGTAGAGGAGCATAAGATGCACGGCAGCCAGTGAACAATAAATGTATCTTTTGTCTTTCTCCATCTCTCCATCTCTGCGGATCCATCCATCTCCTCTCTCAACACTTTCTCCAATCCCTCCCTCGTATCATGCCTCTCTCCTCTCTTTTTTCCCTTCCCGCTTTGGATCGCTTCACCACTCTGTGGCCTCTCTCCGTCTCCAGGCATGGCTGACAGAGATCCATGAGTACGGTCAGCAGGACGTGGTCGTCATGCTGCTGGGCAACAAGGTGAGACCTTGTTGCCAACACTGGGCTATGGATGGACAGATGGACCCAATAGAGGGAGGGATGGGGACGATCATGAAGGGGGGTATGGTGGGAGCTGGAGTGGATTTATGGATGTGTGTGGAGAGAGAGAAAGAGATGTACAAAACGACTTTGGAGTTGTTACTGGTCATTTCAACAGATCCTGTTGGAGAAGTGACAGTAAAATCTAATTATCTTAACTTAACTCATCAATTAATGACATTTTTTGTTAACAATAAATCAAATGGCTATGTGTAATGCAAACAGAGCCCAACCAAAGAGATGTATCACACAGCCCTGCAGTCCCACTCAGTTCTACAGAGCTTAGCATCTTTTAGCTTTTTGTTTTCGAATGCGCTGTTTCGATTCACTCTCACCGCTCTCGTCCACTTTCGTTGTGGCCTCAGGAGGCAGCTGTTTTCAGTGCAAAAGCTCTGATTAATTCAGTATACTCAACCCCCCCAGTGTCAAATGAATGCAACTCGTTGTTGAACACTGTGGAGTGTTTAGCTAAAAAGCTAGCTAAAGCTATCGAGCAAGGTATTTCTCTCAGGAGTTGGTGGAGACCAAAACCGAGCTCAAGAAAGAGTAAATTAACCTACATTTTTCAGGTAGCCAGAAATACAACTCCAAATATTTGCTAATGTTTCTCTGTGTCTGTTGAAATTGTAAATAAGGCAACTGTTTGCATGTTTTGTAAGGCCATACAATGTCAGATGTAGTATTTGTTTGGCTTGTTACGGAGCTGCCCTGCATCCAAGTGAACCAAAATAAGTAATTAATGCAGTCAACGTCTTATACATCTTATTTCTTTGACATTTATCTCCAAATCCTGAATTCTTTTTCAGGCGAGATGGTCGTGAAAATAATAGAAAATAACTCAAAGTGATGATACACATGTATATGTCAAACATGGACGACAAACTTCTATGAATTCCCTCATTAAACAGTCTGTGCGTGTGAATGACACTTTCTAACTTGATAGTGTGCGTCCATTGTTTTCCAGGTCGACTCCACGCATGGCAGGATGGTGAAGCGAGAGGAGGGAGAGAAACTGGCAAAGGTGAGCTTCCTAGTACACACACACACACACGCACACACAACACACACAATGCACACATTCACATTCAATTTGACACATGTAACAAGGATAAAAGACATACTGTGCTCTGAAACTCTAAAACTCCCCCCATGTAGCTGCTGTGTCTTGATCAGTGTGTGCAATTACGTATTCATGGAGGCACATATTGTTGTTGTGTGTAAATGACGGGGGCTTGCTAACTTAATTTTCCACGCCATGTTTCGCTCAGATAAGCTCTGAGAGGCGTGTTAGAGTAAATATGAAGAGGAGAGAGAAAAGCACTGCAGCTGTCAAGGTGGAGACACACAGCGGGAATATTGACATGTTTACACACACACAGACTCAGACATAATGGGATTGCTATACCTGGGAGCATCTTTCATCGACAACACACTGTGTTCATTTTCTTTCTTATAAGTTACAACAAAGAGGGGAGACATTTATTTTTCAAAGCCAGAAACATCAGCACCCATCAAAATGATTGTTGAATTATTGGTATCGACCTAAACCTAAATTAATCTAAAACCTGATTCTTCTTTCGGTGTCAGACACACAAGAGTGCCAAGTCCACATCACTGAACACACACACACACACACACACACACACACACACACACATCCCTGATAACAGATGTTTCTCTGTGCAGGAGTTTGGAGTGCCCTTCATGGAGACGAGTGCTAAATCTGGACTGAATGTGGAGCTGGCCTTCACTGCAGTGGCCAAGTGAGTCACACACAAACACAAAACACCACAGCATGAAGGAACACACAATGGCAGAGCACACAAAACTCTCAAAAGTTCCCAAGTGATGAAAACTAGAACAGTACTGGCCCTTGAGTTTGATAGCTCTGGTGTTGCACGAACAGTAAAGGGGACAAGCCTACAAATGTTAAAGCATTAAAACACAGGCCTCCTCAGCTCAATACGTGACCCGGTCGGAGCAGTAGCTCATGGTGGCTAATGTAATACCAGGTTTAGCAAACATGAGATGGATATCACGGGGACAATCCTCTATTTTTAGCACGTCACAGATAAACATTTCAATGGTTTTATCACAAAAGTAAAACACAAAGTTATCACGCTGTAGCTCACCAGACGGGTCTGTTTCCTTCCTTTGCTTTCACCGTTGCCATCATCTCACGGTAGCTATAAGCTGATAGCAACAGGTGTCATTTCGGCAGACAAAATCCATCTGTTACACGAGAGAAACCTGCTTTCGTTTTCTTCAGTGTGAAATTGTTTAAAAAATATATTTCTGAGTGGAAACCATCGTTACAATTGTGCACTTGTGCCGTGCTAGAATGGGAAAACGTGACCTTTGGAGGATGGGAATTATGAGTTTTAAGTAGGTACATGAATGTGTTGCATTTTTGTGAACCTGCTCTCCTTTTTTCCAGAACACTGATATTAAACTGACATTAAACTGATATTAGAATGAATTGCTGCTCTAGACATGATGTGGAGAAAAGTAATTTTTTAATAATAATAATGAACTTCCAATAATCCGTTCCCACCGCCAACTCATTAATGGCAGCTCGGTCAGTGACGCTACATGTCAAACTATGATGCTCTAGGTAGCCGCAGTTATGGTGGGAGTAAAGGAGGAGGTCAGGTGACCACGGTATAAAGAGCAATAGTAAACACAGGATTTTCACTCGGGAGACCCTGTTCGAGTCCCGTGTGAAACCAAAAGGCAACCTTGCCCTATTTTAAGTTACGTAAGTAAAGTTAGTAGAAGTGGTTACTTACTTATCTTAACCACAAACCGAAACTTAGTTATTTATACCTAGTTATTTCCTGTGAACACATATCATTTTTAAATCATGCATGTGACAAGCAGTTGAGTCAAACAACCCACCCAAACCCCTCATGCAGTAAACCTGTTACCTGTTAGAACTTCTCTTGGTGAGAACATCGGCCTAATGCCTTGAACAGTTAAAGAAAGGACAATGCCCTCTGTCTTAAGGTATATATATATAGTGGAACACATCAATGCTAAAGCAGGTAAACTCCATAAACCACAGAGTACAGAACAATGGCTCTGTCAGCTGCACGGATGAGGCCGTTTTTAGAGGTCGGATCAGCTGAACTTCTGCTGCAGTGTTGCTCTAAACCAGAGATTTCTGAACAGGCGACACGCTTTTGTGTGAAGTTATTTGAGGTCTTTTATGTTCCTTTTTTAAAAACTCTGGTAATGATAGATAGATGACAGGAGGGTCATTTATTTTTGACATAATATACATTTGTAGTTGTTCCCTGCAGTGATGGTATCTTAAGCATTCAAATAGAAAGAGACAGAAATGATAAATCCAGCTGTTATTATGAGATTACTATCCAAACCAAAAGTGTGTATTAACAGCAAGACATCCGATAGTTTCTTCCATTATTTCCATCTCCTGTTTCTTTATAACGAGGATGCTATTTTAACTCTGTGTCTCACTTAAATGTGTGGTGTCGGACAGTTTGTGTGGGAGTTGTTTTACATTCATAGCCTCGTTATGGCAACAGGCTGGCATTGTGAGGTGATGCCAAGAATAGCGTGACAGTCTGGCACACAGCACCATGCAGATACGGAAAATGAGACCAGCGCTGTCAGTTTTGTGACCAGCACTTTTTGCATCCTCCTCTTTTTTTTTTTTTGCCTGCTCGCTCCAAACTTCTCCATCCCCTCTCATCCCTCACTCTTCCACCCCATCGTGCTTTAGTCCATTTCCCTTTGTGAGTGCTTTATTTGCATAAAACACACCAGTGCTTTGTGCTAACTAAAAGCCTCAAAAAACGGATAAAAAAAAAAAGAAAGTGTCACCTGGAAACCGTGATAATGATGCTTGTCAACAACAATGGTCTGTTGTCACACTATTCATGAATTGACTACAGTGACGTAAGCATCATGCATCTATTTATATGCTTTAATTGTTCTTTGTAAATTAATTTTTTTTCTTCCTCACTTGTTTTTGTTGCTTGGATTTTGATTGTTTTTTTTTACAGTGAAAGAGAATCCAGGTTTATTAATGTTCTATACAGAGGTCAACGGATCACCACTCTGTTGGCTCTAATGAGCCAGAGAGAAGGAAAAGTTCCACAAGTTCTGGCTGTTGCTTCATATCTGACGGACTGATATGAGAGTCATGAACATCTTCTTTTCTTACTTTGGACAATCACTGTATTTTCTAAAATTTCAAACTAATTGTGGAAAAAAAAAAACATTAAATATGTTTTGTGATCTTTACTGTACGCGTGTGGACGCGATGTCTCTGGAACGCCTTGAGGGAGTTTCATTACATCTGGCACGAGCATCCACTTGATCTCAAAGGTCACTGTGACCTCACAACACACGTTTTTGGCCATAACTCAAGAATGTATCTGCTAATTATGTCAAATTCATACACGTATTTAATCGGATAAAATTATGACTTCATGACATTTTGGACAGACATTGATGTAAACTGCAACCTGACTGGTTGATGGTAGCATACAACCGCGAGGCGGTAGTTCTAGTACCATCTGTCAGGAAACACGAACCCAAGCGCTTGAACCAGACAAATAAAGATGATGAAACAGGAAAGCAATTAATGACAATTTTTGAAGCTGATTGCAAAGACAGCAGCATAATTCAGACATATTTCCTCTTGCTACAAGCATCCAACTGTAAAATCAGATGGTCGTGTCAGGCCATCCTGGAGTTCACCAACCAAACACTGTTTTGAAATGGTGCCGACTTACCACAAACTGATACAGTAGGTATCTGCATCAAGTTTCCAAGAGCTGAAATAAATGGAACAATTTGGATTTTCACGTTCTGTTAGGAGGTATTTGACTGCCGCGTTCACCAATGGGGGAAATGATATTTCTGTGACAAGGAAAACCACGAAAATAGCTCTGCTCTGTCGCCACCTGTCAGTAGCAGAGTTAGCGCAGCCTCATGTTTCCACTGTCTCTCTCTTTCAGAGAACTGAAGCACAGGACCATGAAGGAGCCCGATGAGCCAAAGTTTCAGCTGCAGCAGTACGTCGACAAAGAAATGAGGACTGCTGGCTGCTGCCGCTCGTAGACCATATCCTCATGCCTGTTGGCGTCTGTGTGTGACAGACAGAGAGAGAGAGAACAGGTACATTCCAATAAAGTAGTAATTAATCCGGTGTGTCTGGGAATTATCATGCAATTCTCAGTGTTTGTAATATATCAGTGGTGATATGGCCAGTATGCTCTCTCTCCCAACCCACCTATCCTCTGCAACTGTGAATGTAATATAACTCTGATACATGCTTGCACATACACATGCATGTACACACATGGACACACTCGTATACGGCTATGTTTGTAAGTCTACTTCATAGCTCGGTCAATCCATTTTATTCATGAGTGGGATGTACATATTATAAATGTGAATTTAATTTGGTGCCCTGAAGCTTTGTAGTTTGTAAATGCCGTCTTGTTGAAACAGAAGAATACAAATATGTTGAACATCAAATCAATCTGAAAGTAAATAGAAATGAATAGATCTAATGAACATATTTGTACAGATACAATATTGTAAGCTGCCAAATGGCACTGTGTGCCGTTGTGTACAGGATATCACATGATAATGTTTTTTGTGGTCATTATACTATTTATTTTGAGCTCTTTACCTTTTATACGCAGATTGTTCTGTGAAGCATTTTAGCATTAAGAACCTCCCTCCGAAATTTTAGACGATATTAAATATAAAAAACTAGATCGTCAGCAAAGAGGCGGAGTCGACTCTGACTTTTACAGATTCACTCGTTTTGATTCACCCTTGAATTGCCATGACCAGCTGTTATCACGACCAATAGTATGCTTCAGACAGAGCAAGATGGGCAAACTGCAAGGACCTGCACGTTGTGAAATGGTAGCAGTTTTTAACACGTGGTTAACAATGTGAATTGTAACAAAAGTATGTGGTTAGATTCAAGCAACAAAACTGCTTTAGGTTTAGGAAAAGGTCATGGTTCGGGTTAAAATAAGTATTATGGTGATGTAACTAAAGTAATAAACATAAGATAAGTATGTAGTATGTTACGTATATTGCATATGTTACGTAAGTTGCATAACCTAAAATAAGTCAATGTGTTGACACAAACACTCCTGGGTGAAAGTCCTGTGTTTGTTTGACCCATCCCTCCACACGACCTCCTCCCAATAAGCAGACTTTATACTCTTTATACTACGACTGACCGTCTCCGTCGCTCCCGTCATAATTACTACGACCACCAAACAATTATGAACCTCCAGCAATCCAGTTTACAAAGCATGATAACAGCCTACTGAGCCAATTAGGAGGTTGAAGAGGGCAATGCCACCTTACTTCTATTGTTCTGATGACAACCGTTAACGGCCATTTAATCGACTGATAATATTCAAAGCGGCTGGCAGATTTGGGGTGAAATCAGTTACATGCTTCATTGCAAGAGGAGAGTGCTATTTCTTTCAAAGAAATCACTCCCAGCATGCTCATTCTTGAGAAAAGTGCAGGAGACAAATAACATCGTTTTTGTGACACAAAGCAACAGGGTACATGTAAAATCTGGTTTAAATGGGATTCTTTTTTAATATATTGATCGTATAAGGTTCATTCTTGACTTTGGAAACAGAAGTTGGGGGAAAGAAAAATATTGTTTTCAGGTCCACTTACAGCACTGGCTTTTCATGGAGCTTTTCGTCACATCTCACTCTCTTCATCGGCACATGGAGTCTTCTGATGAAGTCGGGATTGACTCGGTCAGCTTTAACATAACTTGGCAATATTGATTTATTAAATATTCAACAGATGAAGACCAAGAGATGTGGCTGAAAGCTGCAGATAAAGCTAGTGAGTGGACTTAGTTGAATAATGCTGGTTTGAGATAGAGGTTCTATATAACATCTCTTATCCTCCACTTTTTGTACGTATACTTTGAATTTTCAACTATACAGAATATTGTATAAATGTTAATGTTAAACAACAGATGTTTAGATTTTTTGTTCCTCTACTTCGCCAGGCTTGATTTCAATGCTTAAAAATGTTGAAAGCAAGATAAAATACACATGAACACAGATGATATGCAAAGTGCCAGCCTTATTTCAATCATGATCAGAAAATGTAAAAAAGTGAATCTCGTAGAAGTGTTTAGAATTTGTGAAACCTAGAGGAAGGTTTGACCGAACCTCTTTCTCACTTGTTTTTCCCTTCGGGGGTTTTGTAATAGCTTACCTGTTGTTGCGTAGAGATGTACCAATTCTTATTGGCTCTTTGATGAACTATGGCATTCCACGGGCATTGTTATCTTTTTTTGTGAAATGTTTTATCACAGATGGTTTCATTCTGCCTTCTGTTCGTGTTGAAAATATAAATTGTACCATGAAATACTATAAATACAATTACATTTGCTTTCAATGAGTGGTTACACTTCATCTTGATATCCAGATTTTACAATAGATTTTCAGTATGAATCATAGTAAACTTGTTATCTGTATACTGTATCTTCACTCAAATGATTTGTATCGTATCAATCTCCAGTGTTCACAAATAAAGAATCAAATCAACAGTGAATGAGTTATTCTTGCCTGCAGACGACCAGCGTGGGTCTACACCGCTGCTATGTGGCAGAGTCCTGTTATTGCTACATGGACAGTGGCTGGTTAGCTATGTCTGACCATCTCTTTACATTGCCTTGGAACATTTAATCCGGTTGGTGTTGCTTTTACGGCTACACACGCTCTCAACACATGACCTGTTTTTCTCCCCTCACCTTCTTTTCTTTTTTTGTCCAAGCTCTGGTACCCCCTTATGGTCTCAGGTCCAGAATAGACTTAACCTGGAACCCTTTGAAGGCCCCCTTTTGTTGGACATACCATAACAGCGACTGCACTGACTCCGGATCAGCAGAGACCAGAAGAGTGGCTTCTACTGGTCAGCAAGTCTCACCATCAGCACTGGGACAAGAATCGTGTGGCTTGAATACAGGTGGGTATGGTAAACATACAGGAAGAAGTTAAATGTTTTCTCTTCTTTTCTTTATTTACAGTTTCAAACCATATTAATCATTCAATGTTTGACGTAGTTTGTGCCTGCATCCAGCTTTCTGTTGACCTTTTGAATATTTGATTCTTCAATACCGCATTAAATATGACTTCATGGATATAGTACGTACAGTACACTGGACGTATAAACTTTCATTTCCACACGTTTAGTTATTTATAACCAAAGCAAGTGAATGGAACACCTGAAGACAGCATGCCACACAAAGGACAATACAGCCAAAGAGTCCTGTTCAGACAAAATGACTCAAAACTAAAAACACTGAAGTTCATGCACATAAAAAACAACCTAAAAAAACAAAACAATGTATGCATTTATGTCACTTTTTACTACCTCTGCTCTTAATGGACCAGTTTGTAGGATTTAGTGGCATCTAGTGGTGAGGTTGCATCTTGCAACCAACTGAATATAATCAATATTATATTGTATATTAGAAAAATGATATTCCATTTCTGCCAGAAGATCCCCTTTAATCCTACACACTACTCCTTTAAGTAGCAGCTCTGTTGTATATATCTTCATTGATTTGATAGTTTTCACCTCAGTAATAAAACAAAGTATCTCAAAGGCTGCTGAGACAGAATGAAGTGTCAGATGAAATGTTGTAGTTGATGTTCCCTGTAATTAACTGTTCAGTCTTCTGCTATTTAAGTGTTACTTCATCCTGTGAAGCAGCCAGTAAGATCATGTGTGCCCATAGAAATGTTTATGATACCTGAAACCTCATTATGCAAGTAGGTGGGAGGGAGAGTGGAGACTGTGAGGCCAGGCCAAACTAACCTCGGGGCAAGATGTGTAGCGGTGTGGAACATTGGGAGTAAAAAACATTTAAAAAATAACCGTTTTCTTTCGACTCAGATATAACACAGTGCAAGTGCAGGAACATTTTAACCTGAGAGCCTCTCTTCATCGGTCAATACCTAATCCACCATGACGTTCTGTAATAGGGCAGAAGAAAGGGGAGGAGGAGGAAGAGGAGGAGAAGGACCAACAGCAGGTCAACACAGTATGACACAAACAAATGTCATACAGGTGAGCAAGAGAACATCATGACCCGCTGCCGGAAGTGAAGATAGATTTATATATATATTAATTTTTATTTTAAATTTTTATTTATTTGCACATTTTAACACTGAAAAGAATCATGAAGCTTTAATCAGTGGGGTCTGCAGACCCTACATGACCATCTCAGTATACAATGTTTTCAGCCACGCTAGCAGCTCGGACATTCGTGCAAAACACACCAAAGCTTTTGCATGTATTTAAAAACAAAAATAAAAAATGACTACTGTAGATAACAGTGTAAATACATGGCTCATTTAAATCCTACTAAATATGACCTCATAATATCTAATACTACCCCCTCACGACGAGAAATGAATTCTAATACACGAAGCAGGCTGCTCAAATTCATCATATCTAGTGACGTAGTGCAATACAGAACAATGCATTTTCATATGACATTTTTTAAATATGTTTCTAAAAAGTCCAGATTTACTAGAAAAACACTTTGTTGCAGAATAAAAAAGTCCCCCTTCAGTCTGAAACGTGTTCTGCTCTTTGTTAGATTATCTGGAGTTTCTCTGTGCTTAAATCTCAGTTCAGCTCGTGCTGGCAGGATTTTGTGACACAAATGCGATGTGGAACCTTGGAAACTCCAGTGAACATTGACAATGGACTTTGTAAACATAGATGTATGTTCTGTGCATGCATACTGCACTGCTGTTGCATGTTACGCACAACATGTTATGAACAATTTAGATCTAATTTCGGAGAAATCTGCAGGCTCAGATGAATAACGCCATAACGTCATATCATTTCAAATGAGTACAAATGTATTCCATGTTCATTAAGATAGATTAGGATTCTAGGATCCTTCAATATGCTTTGAGATGCCCCAAGAACCTCCACTAACCAACTATTAGGAGTCTTATCTTGAGCTCAGTTTTCTACACTGTTAACACAGTCATTTGAATGAGGTTGATTTTCTTCAGGCTTTCAGTTTAGACCAATTTGCCCACAACTTGATGGTGAAGACGAAGACATAATTAATCTTAATAGCGTTCCTGTCCATTTTGGCTCAATCTAGTGTTCTCTTTCTGTTACTGTGTCCCTCGCTGCGAGGGGAAAATACTTTTCCATGCATACGCGATCGACAGGCGTCTCACTCGGACTCTGACTAATAGTTATTCCAATTTCCTTAAAACGTCCCAGCCTGGAACAGTATGACAATGACGCCCACAAACATCTCCTCTCTCTCTCTCTCTCTCTCTCTCTCTCTCTCTCTCTCTCTCTCTCGCTCTCTCGCTCTCTCTCCTGTATATGACATTCAATGGCACTCATTAGAAGGTGGGCCTGACCTGAATTAGTGTTGTCACACATTGGGTCATGGAACACTGACTTTAATTCGAGATGAGTGGCAGGCACACTGACCTGATCTTCTATGGCAACCGCGCTGCAACTAGACGAAGCTTGAAAGTATTTCAAGTGTGAGCGATTGATCATTCACTTCATCAGCCACATTTCCCAAGCTGTTATAAACCTCACATGTACCTCTAGTGTTGCTTAATGAATAACAATCTCATGCGATCACACATGCATATCAATCTTCCACAATGCAAAGCAGAAATTAAGTTTTCACACTCATGACCAGGCAGTGGTGGTAGGTAACCAAGTACATTTACTGTACTTAAGTACACGTTTGAGGTACTCTTTTCATGCCACTTTCATACTTATATATTGTACTTCTTCTCCACCACCGCTACATGTATCTGACAGCTGTAGTTACAATATAAGAGTTCCTCAAATATAATTATAAATTACACCGCTCAACAATACATAGGCCTACAAGTGCAGCTAAATGATTAGCCAGTCATCTTTCATGTGATAAAATGTCCCGTTTCCAGCTCCTCAAATGTGAGGACTTTCTGTGTTTACTGAGTAATTTTACATCTAATACTACAAATAATTGTACTTAATATTTTATACATTGTGATGCAGAGTGATATTAGTACTTTAACTTGCGTAAAGGATCAGAATACTTCTTCCACCGCTGTGATTAGATCAACAGTGGCCCTCTGCAGTCAAACTGGGTCAAGCTGCAATGCCTTCTATGCTCAACAGGGGTCAGACTTGTATCACAGATTTGCTGTGTAGCCACAGGCAGTGCTTGTGTTGTTCACTAAAGACTGAACTGATGTAAGAAATGAGGAGGGAAAAAAAACAAGGAAGGGGCTGCATTCAACTTTGTGTTTAACATTTTTAAGATTAACTGTTTTTTGAAACAGCTAAATGGGTCCTACAGTGTGATTACATCCTCTGGTGTCTCTGGTGATTTTCATGCGTTCCAGCCTGGAACCTTACATCAATTTGCTCAGAATTAGCCCCACGGTCATTTTAATTATTGCAAATGGGTTATATAATTTGCACCATTATCATACAATATCTTGCATTAGCTTCTCTCGTGGCCACGTAATGTATACAATCGAGCAGGTGATGTGTTACGTCACGCTTAAGTAATGATGACGGGTCACTCGTTTCACAACCTAAAGATTGGGGATCATTGTTGTGGACCAATCTTGTTACAATATCTAGTTTTGAGAGTTGTATTATCTTGATTCATATTGTGCTCACAAGGTGCATTTTCATAGATAATGCTGTGATTAATTAAATTATCACAATCAAACTGACACAAAGGGAGCCTGGGGGCACCTTTTCAAAATTTGATTTCCATCCACAGAAACAGAGAGGCAGGCAGGAGATAGAGAATGAGTCCAGGGGTGACCATGCTGTGCGAATATGTGTAAATGTGTGCAATGGTGTGAATAAGTAAATAATAGACGGTCATAGTTGCTAACAGAGGCCCTCATATGACTTAGGGCCATCTGTTACATGTGCCATTAACCCGACCTGAGGGCACCATAACCCTGATGGCTCTCCTGTAGTCTCATCCATCATGAGTTGCCAAGCAGTCCACTCTATTGCACTAAAGGGGCCAGGAACCCCAAACAAAGCCATGTGGTGCATGTGTGTGTGTGTGTGTGTAAATGCTGATTCCTCGGAGGAGGAGGACCACGGTCAACACAGTCCGGCACGAACAAATGTCATACAGGTGAGCAAGAGAAAAGGTGCCTTAAAGGTACCTTAAAGGTGCAATATCTGATTGCCTCTCGACGGCTCTCAACATGGCGACGGTGAGCCACGGGTAAATATTGCTAATGGCGCTAACAACGCAAACTACACCAAAAGTGTTGACAGAGCGAACAGTGTTCACTCGAGGGGGCACTGGAGGGTGGGGGCTCTGCTTTCGCCACGACGCTGTCGGTCGGGATGGCGTTGTCGGCTTTAAACGCTGTATGAGAGCAGTGCAGAGCAGGACCGTGAGCTAGCCAGTGCTGGCCGGTAACGTGCACTAAAAGCATGCACGGCCGCCCCGGCTATAAGTCAACAGAGCAAGGATAAGCTTGGATAACAGCACACATAGATGGAGAGTGATTTCATTCTCTGCTCAG